CAGTGGTCACATGTGGCTAGTGGCTACGGAAAGAGTGCACCGCTAGAGCACCAGTTCTTCAAATGTGATCCAGGGGCTCCCCGGGGTTCCCTGAAACATTTCCAAGGGATCTCCGTCAGGCCAACGCTCTCTTCATATAATAGTAAAATGTCATTTGCTTTGTTGACTTTCATTCTCTCACAAGTTTACACTGTACTGTTCCAGAGGTACAAGACATGGGATATGACAACAGATTAAACACAGAAACATATTAGAGAATCAGCAGTTTTCCATTAAGCCAGATATTGAAGAGATTTGCCAAGATGTAAAACAAGGCTCTTCTTCTCCCTCATTGATTTTCTTTTGGAAAATACCATTATCTTTCATTAAAATATGTGTTGCTTACATACTCACAGAATGAGATAATATTATTTTCAAATGAATATTAGTTTTGATGAATAATTTAAACTTTTCTTAGCTTTAATGTCTGATACAATAATTATTGATAGATAGAACTCTCAAAATCAAAAGCTCTCGGGAGTCTTCAATAACCTTTAATGGTGTAAGAGGCTTTGACAACAGCTGGTCTAGAGCCTGCCTACCTCTCCAGGCTCACGGTTGATCATTCTTCTTCCCCTCATATTTTTTGCATGAGCTTCCAGTTCCAAACAAGATGAAGCAGATGTACTTCTTCTTAGTTCTCTGGCTAAGTACTACTTGTAAAAGCCCTGGACATTATATATAAAACAAATATAAGAAGAGGCTGAGAGGTAAAGAGAAGGTGGCTATGGACTTAGGAACTCAAGGAATGACACGTCACCAGGGTGGTATCAGCAGAGACCTAGTGGGGAGCCTGAAGTTCCACTCTAGTCCCCAAATTATGAGGCATCCACCCCCTAACAGGTGTCAACCACTGAATGGGGAGCCCGGACTTCTACCCCAACCTAGTGGTATCGAGGAGTCACCCCACCAATACAGTATCAAAGAGGGACTCCTAAAACAGAAGATTTAAAAAAGCTCCGGAGTCTCATAACATAATATGTCAAATGTCCAAGATACAATTTAAAATCACTCGTAATAACAAGAACCAGGAAAATCTCAACTTGAATGAGAAAAGATAATTAACAGACGCCAACACTGAGATGACAGAGATTTTGAAATTGCCTGACAAGGATTTTAAAACAGCTATCATAAAAATGCTTCAATGAGCAATTATAACACGCTTGAGATAAAAGAACAAATAGTAACTCTCAGCACAGAAACTGAAGATATAGAGAAGAATCATGTTCTTTGCTTGGGCCTTAAAAGAACCATTCAAGTTTCGGGAACGCGCCCCCTCCCTTTGCACGTGGACCAAGGCCCCTTCCTCTTCCTGGAATGCCCACCTCTGTCCTCTTCTCCTTTTTAAATCCTGCATGTCCCAGTAGGGTCAGCTGAGATGTCACCTCTTCTAGGAATCCTTGCACAGCTTCCATGTCCCTCCCACTCAAAGCTTCCTACACCACAGTACTTACACTCAATGCTAATTGTTCTGTCATCTGTCCCTCCCACCACTAGTATAAAGACTTGACAGAAGGGACTGTGTCTTATCCCAGGTGCCTGGCTTATAATAAGCACATAAAAATATTTGTTGAATAAATGAATAAATCAATGAATAAATGGAAACTCTTCAGTGGCTTTCTGTTTCCTAGTGAATAAAATTAAACTCTGTGGCCTGGCATTAAAGGCCCTACACAAACTGACACACATCTTTTTGGATTCGGCTTCCCTTCACGCATTCTACTTCTCTGCCAGACTGGAAAACACATTGTTTTTTGAAAGTAGTTTATACTTCCCATGTCTACATATCATGTATGCTCTTCTATCCACCTCAAATGTCCTGACCCATTTTTGTCATCCAAATGGTATGCATTTTTTACAGCCCCACTCAGATATAACTTCTCCATGACCCAGCCCCAGATCTCCCCAGCTAGAAGGTGTCCTGCCAACCTCTGGATACACAGCACTTCATTTAGACTTGTGTTATGTCTCACTTCCTGCCTCGCATTTATTTTTGTTGTTGTTTTTGTTTGTATTAATGCCCGTGTAGTAGTCTGGGTTCAAATAAACTCATGTCTTGTTGATCTTTGTCTCTGCCACTCAGCTGCTAGCACAGCCCTTTGTTACCCTCTGAGTTTCGGCTTCTAGTTCTGAGATAATGATACCTACTTCGTAAGGTTTCTGTGAATATTAAATAAAATGCACTATCTAAATTTTGGTATAGCATCTCATTTTGATACAGTAAGCACTCAGTAAATGTCAGCTATTCTTGTGGTTATTATTATCGAAAGGAATAAACGAATGGAGAAACCCCTTTAGCCCTACCTTCCACACATCTTTTAAATTCCGCTTCATCTCACTGCTCCCACTATCATCACCCTGCCCTGGCCATGAGCATTGCTCTTTGATATTATCACTGCAGTCTACTTGCTCGCCTTCCTTCCTCTCTCTTACCTCCCTACCTCTATTCTCCACTCAGCAGCCAGCAAGATACTTTTAAAACATAGAGCAGCTCATATTACTTCCCTGCTCAATCAAAACCCTTTCATGGTTTCCTGATCTCCTAATAAAACCCAAACTTCTTACCAAGGCCTGGAAGGCCTAATGTGATCTGACCTGTGTCGTTCTCGCCCTCACTCACTCTGATGCAGCTTCAATGGCCTTCTTGTCCACCATCATCAGCTATACTTCTTGCACTTGCCAGGCTTTGCATCATAGGGCTTTGAACTTGCTATGTCCCATGTGTAGCATAGTCTGTTCCTCACTTCATTCAAGTGAGCTATGCTCTCAATTCTTACCTCCTTGGTATGTATAAAATACCAACCATTACTCTCAAACGATTTTATATGTTTCATAGCTCATAATACAATCTGAAAACACATGTGCATGTTTACTTAGATAAATGTGTTTGTTTATTGTCTTTCTCCTCCAGTAGAGTTGTAAGCTCTATGAGGACTTGTTCACTGCTCTGACCCCAGCTTCTGTCCCCAGACTTGCTGAATGACTAAATGCTAGCCGTGAACTCCTCAGATGGGGACTGAGAAGCAGCATCTTGAAGTTGCTCACAACTGCTTACCTGCTACTGAGTTTGTGTGAAGCGGAAGTGGGGGATTGATCTACCTGGGGAGGATGGGATGGGGAATACCGCAAAAGATACTTCCAGGTGTGCTTTCCATAGTGAACTATGCAGTACTCAGAGTTAATTCTCTGGGGCTGGCGGCAGGCACAGCAGAGGGTGATGAGCCTCTCAGTTTCCCGGCGCCTTCAGCCTCTCCTTTGTCCCACGGCTTCGGGTCCTGCTTGGCTGGCCGGGCCTGGAAGAGCACATTGATGAAATGCTCCAGAGGGTAAGCCCCTAAAGTATTTAGACCCTGCCCTCACCAGCTTCATGACATCCAGCTGGAGGAACCCAGAGACCCCAGCAGAAGAGTGGGGTGAGATGATGAAATGGAGCCCTTTGGATTCAGGATACCTGAATTTCCGGTGATCTGGGTAAGCCACTTGCCCTCTCTGGGTCTTAGTTTGTCTTTATACCATAAGAAGTTGAGTAGAATGTATCTGTGAAGTCCTCTCCGGCCGTGAATTTCTGTAGTTATATGAGTTTCGTGTATGAGATCATTTGGACTAGGCTGTTCAAGATTAGAGAGAAGCAGCCCAACATGGAGGCGATTGAACTGAAGCTGAGCGGTAGGAGCCCAGGAAGGCCAGCAGGTGGCGCTATTGCCACACCAGGATGTTCAGGCCAAAGGGGAAAGTTTGATTTTCTAGAAAGCAGGCAGTCCAACCAGCAGAGAGAACTAGTCACCACCGTACCGCCCCTTAAATATACACACATGCACCCCTTCCTCCAAAAGTCTGTACATTCCGACATACTCAGGGCAAAATACTATTATAGGTTGTTGGGCCTGAGGCTGGGGGCGTTTCAAAGACTCAGTTGCTTTTTCTCCTCTACCCATATTTCCTGGGAGTCTGTATCCTGTACTAACCCCTTTCCCTGCCACTCCTATCTTGTCACTCTCATGGCAGGACGTGTGACTAGATAGAGGGAGGCCCACCTGACTTCTTTTGCCGGATTACCGTCTTTTCTTTCTCCAACCCCCCACGGTCAGCCATCACCTTCTAGGCTAGGCTCTAGATCTCCTCCCTTCACCTCCTGGGGAGGAGCCTCGGGTCAGAGCAGTTGGAGAACGGCTAGGGGGAAGTGGGGGAGGGGCAGTGCTGAAGGGGAAGGCCTGGCTTCGATCAGATAAGAATGGAAGGACCCGTTGTTTGGCCCCAACTGCCTCTGCCACTGTTGACACACTTGGGAGTGTTTCCTGAAGCTCCTCGGTTGTGTCCTCAGTAGGCCCTCCCCCACTTCCTGTGGGCTGGGGTGGGGGTGGGGCTGCATAGGCCCTGGAGGACGTGGTGTGGGTACAGGTTTTGCAGTCAGGCTGCTGTCTTAATGCCGAGGGAGGACACCACCCCGTCCCGGAGTTGGCACCCAGATCTCCAAAGCAGAAGCGTCCCACATTGTCCTTCACTGTTTTGCTCCAGCTAGGGGCAGGGGATGATGGAATAACAGAGGGTGCACGGCCGGCCGTGGTGCCTTCCCTTTGTTTTGCAATTTTTGCATAGTTACCAGAAAGTGACTCTTCTCCAAAAGGTCTTCACGAGGGTATGGCTCCTAAGTCCTCAGCACTCACCCCCTCACCCCCATCCTGAAGGCCCCTGCTGCGTTCTGGTCTGCCTTTTTTTCTATGATTAGGGACATCCAGCTTCCTTGTCAGCCTCTTCTGTCTCCCCACAGAGAGGGGAGTAGTTCACAGACTTAGCCCAAGGGGCATCATCCAGGTTGGTACCTGTGTCCCCTGAGATAGTCCCACCTCTTCCCGGGCGAGCCCCTCGGTACCACACCACTGCACAGTCCAGCCAGATCTGTTGGAGAGACAGGCTGCTCTGGCATTTAGACGTATCCAGCTGGGACAGAGCCACAGAACAAATGTGTTTCACTATCACTTTAATTACAGTATTTACACACCATTTTTTATTCAGAAAAAAAAAAATCCACCCAATCTTCCTATCTCTGGAAAGTTCTATTTCCAACCGTCATTGAAACCAGGATCCCTGCTCACCCCTCTGGAAAATAAAATAAAAACAAAGGAGAGCCTGGCTCACTCACAGAGGAGGCGACTTGCGGTGAGCGTTCTCTGGAGATGTCCCAAGGCCCTGAACACCTGGGGTGCAGAGCAGTGAAGGGGTCAGAGTGGGGAAGGCAGAAACAGAAGGGAGTCTACGAGGGGACTGAGGACACAGCTCACCCCAGCAATCGGAGAGGAAGGAGGAAGCCATCAAGATCAGAGAACAAGGCCAGGACCTAGCTTAAGAGCAAGAGGCTTCCTCAAATGCACACAGGTCAAGAGGCTTGGCTCAAAGATCTGGTCCCATGTTCATGTCCCCTCTAACCACAGGAAGAAAGAGGAGTCCAAACAGCAGCTCTGCCAGGCTCCGGAAAGACCAAGACTGAGCTGTACGCTCGCTCCCACTTGCCCCCACAAGGAGCAACATGTGTGTCCATGTACCTCCACCCTGTCTCCCAAACACAGAGCCCCAGGACATGGTTCTAAAACTCAGAGCCCAGTTCCAGGCTCAGCCAGAAACCTGGGCAGGTCTCTATACACAGATGCGAGGGGAACCTGTGGAGCTCGGGGGGAACTTGGAGAGCCAGAGGGAAGCTGGTGACTGAATCCACAGTGACTTGGAGGGGGCATAAGGGACATGGCGTAAGGCAACAAGTTTTTCTGGTTATATTACTGCAGAGGAGCAAGTGCAATGGGTGGCTTTGGTTTCCATAAAGTAGAGAAAGAAAATATAAGGAAGTAACAGGAAAAGGCAAAGATTCCTGGGAGGAAATTATAGCATAGAAGAGCCCATGCTTTCCCCTGGGAGTTCCTGCAGTGAGGCAGAGGAGGGAGAGGGCAGGGGTCATGTGTGAATGCTGCAAGATCATCAACCCCCACTGGGAGCTTCTCTGAGCCTTGGCTTTTTTCCCCATCATGCCTTTACTCAAGGAAGACCCAAATCTGGGTCAGGTTGCTGAATGTGTAAAGGGCAGGGTTATTTGCCTCTCCCCAAAGTGGAGAGAACCCTTCGGTGGTGCAGTGCAGGGCCCTAGGAGAGGCCTCAGAGGGTGTGTGCAGTGGAAAAGGAAAAAGTAAGGGATGGCACCTCCAGCAGGAAAGCACGTGGTCAGATGTTGTGAGGGTCCCTTCCCCAGACATTGCCCAGCCTTGCCCCACCCAGCTGAGTCACAATTCGGTGTCAGCCACCACGTGTTGTCTCGCTGAATGGCCGTTTCTGGATGTGGCCTGGCCGGTCCCGTTCTCCTGAGCCCCTCGGTTCACACTGGCCTTTCCCTGAGCTTCAGGGGAGGCCCCAGGGCCTGAGCTATAGCCCTGGCCTCCACCATTCTCCGTGTAATAAGGGTCTTCGCCCTAGACGGTGTATAAATAAAGGAGCATTATCTGGTAAGCAGGGGAGTGAGACACGGGTGGAGGAAGAAAGGGAGTAGGAGAGAGAGAGGGGGGTTGACGCTGCATGTGTAGACTCCTTTCTTCCTGAAGAGCAGTCAGGGTTCCAGCTCCTGGAGAAGAAAGGACAGAGGAGAGGCACCACACCATGCCACTGCTGCGCAATAGCCACTCCCGTCAGAAACCAGGCAGTCCCCAGGGCATAATAATCTCCCCAGGCCAGAGGACAAGAGTCAACCCCTAGCCTTGTCCTTCCTCATCCAGAATACTCCAAGAGTAGATTTTTACCTCCACATGTCCCCTTCTTCTGAGCCAGGTGGTACCCGTGGCCATTTAATGTGCTTGCAAATAAGTGGCTGATTTAGCAGCAGCCTGTTCTGATTGTACCCAGCTGAACTATCCCAGGGAAAATAATAAATAGATGACATGAACCATCTGTTACCATAGTGAGGTGGGCTGGCCCCAGTTAGTGCCCCCTTTCTAATCTGCTATATATTGTTTTGACTTGTCCACAGACATAGGTATGGGCAGGCACACATATCCCTCTGCAAAGGCACAGAAGTGCCTTTTCTGGTATTTTTGCTCCCCCACCATGACATTCATGGACCTCCCCAGAAGACCACTATCTTCTGTATTTCCTTGGCCTGCACCCCAGGACTGACCAGCCTTTCTCCTGTTGGGCTCCAACTGCGGCGGTTCATCAGGAAATAGCAAATGATGCCCAAGACAGCCAGCAGGATCCCTGAGGTGACCAGTGCAATCAGGGTCTTGCGGGAATTGCTCTGGTGGCTCCCAACATCTTGTTCAATGAAGTCTTGGATCCCCAGCTTGAAGAGAAGACAGAAAAGAGAGCCAGTTACTTGTAAAATGTGGGTTTTAGAAAAGAATTCAGCCTATACTAGACCCCTGTGTGTGACTCAACAGTGAATAAACACAAGAAAACATTGACCTCCAGGATTTTCTAAATTGGATTCAAGACTGACATATCTTAATTAAGGTGCACTGTAAATGTTTGTTTCAAGCATAGAAAGGTGAATGAAGACTGCTGGAGAAGGATAGAGTGGTAGGAAGGGCAGGTCTGGAGAAGATAATTATTTACTCCCTTGCTTCAGTGAATGCCCCTGACACATCATCTTAGAGAACTTACTTTTCTCAGGTCAGACTGGTGTTTTTCCAGAAGTTGGAGCATGCTGGTAGATTCTAGAATTAGAAACAGGAGTTACCAAACCTAGAAGCTGCACGGGGTCATCCTGCTTTACCCTCCTACACTGTTCTAGAAGATGCTCTGATGATCAGGGTGGCTCCTCTCAGGAGGGCCTCTACCAAAGTCAGCCCAGCCTTTCTCCCCAGCACCTGCAACCTCTGAGCGAGGATGCCTGATTTCTACCCAGCATCCTCTAACCTCAATCCTACTCTCTTCCTAGCCCCCAAGACAAATGTGCACCTTACCTGTTCTGTTGACCAACAGCAGTAGCGGGCAGAGAGGCATCGTATCATCCAGTACAAAGGGCAAGGAGCACCCCCTGGTTTCAGCCTCAGCCTGATCCTTCCCACACAGAATTCGGATCAGTTCCTCTCCCTTGTCCTTTCTAAAGTTCTCCTGGGAAGACAGAAAAATGATGAAGAAGAGATGAAGTTACTAGTGTGCCCTGAATTGCATTCAGTTTTGACAATAATTCTGGTTAAATTCACACTGTTATTCCCTCCACAAGAAGGATTCTTTTGGGGCCGGCCAAGTGGCGCGATGGTTAAGAACTGGCTTGGGATGCCAGAGGGCCCCGGTTCGGATCCCACATATGAGGGCCAGTAACACTGCCCTCTACAGATAAGATGCTGAACAACAGCTCAACCTGAATTGGGCTGCCCCGAGTCGCAGGCGACGGCGTAGGCTGCAGCCCCTGTGGCAGTGGGTTGCCACGGCTACTGTATGTAGCCAACAGCCAGCGTGAGCGGCCAACAGCCAGCGTGAGCGGCCAGCAGCCGCAGTGAGCAGCCGTCCAGAAGCCGGCGATTGATCTGCCTCGCCCGGGAAGAGCGCAATGATGGTGCCAACTTGGGCCAGTGAGGCAACGTCCTCCACAACCTAGACTGAAGAACAAAAGGACAGCAACTTGTCTGTTCCCCTTCCCCCAATTCCCCAGCACTGTTCCCATCCCCCCAATTCCCCAATTAAAAAAATAAATAATAAATAAATAAACAAATAAAAAAGGATTCTTTTTCTAAAATTCCAACTGGAAAAAAAAAATATCACGAACTATATGTGTGAAAGGACACAATGAGAAAAAAACTCAAAAATGTCTCTGTACCAAAACATGTCTATTAGTGTCTTAGGTGTCAGATGGCATCTGTGAGATTCCAGAGAACCAATTTAGGAAGTATCTTATTTAGGGATTTCCAGGTACACATATACTATTCAAATTAATTCAAAACGAATTACAAATAACAGAAAATATTAATAGTGTAATACTAACGAGGAGGAAATCCTTTGTTTCAAGGTTACAATATTTACAAATATTGGAGGACAGCCAAGAAAGGTGATGAGAGATCAAATCTACGACTATAGACTCCTTGGGATCCTCAGCCCTTCCTTCTTCTTCTCCAAGGGGATCTCACAAAGGTCATGGCTCAAATGGAAATGGCGTTTTTGTCTAATCTTCCACTCCCCTTTCCCATTAAAAGCATGGAACCCATGTTTTTAAGGTTCATACATCTTCCTCCAGTTTGCTGACTGGACAGTAGGACTCAGAAACCTGACTCAGTAGATAAACTCTGATCATTCTTCAACAGTGAGTCCCAGGAAATGGATGAACTAGAAGCACTAGTTGTGCCCTTCCAACACCCTGTTCTCGCACCTCTCAGGCTTTATTCCAGCAGCCTCCAATCAGAGTGGCCGCCCCTGCACAGGAAAGGAACGGAAACCAAGACTCTCTCCTCTGCCCAGATGGCAGATGGCGGAGGAGGAAATGCCTGAACGGCTCTGACAACTTTCCTGTTAGGGGAAAACTCCCGGGGCATGTGAGGGCCATAAGAACCGAGGCTCCGCAGAGGAGAAAGCTTCCTGTTTGTGGGCAGGGCTGCTTCGTGTGGCAAGGCCAGAGGGCCCTCCTCGTTTGGAAAGCAGCCTGGGTATTTTCCTACTGCTGTGGCCCAAGGCAGGAAAACCCAGACTCCTTTGCTCCTGCATAAGGCAAGGTCAACATTGGCCTCAGATGCCAGCTTTCTTCCATCAGCTGGAATGTGAGGGAGCTGAGTGAAACTCACTGGGCTTGGATGAGGCTAGAGGCACAGGGCTACATAACCTCCAAGTCACAGAAAGATGACTCCATTGCTAGCCTTGGAAGAAGGGCCAAGTTCTCAAAGAAATGAATTCTCAGGCCACTGCTGCTTCACCCCTCTTGGATTGATCTTCGATAGAGGCTCTGCTTCTGGAAAAATCTGCCTCTTTAAAACCGCACTTTCTATAAGTAGTCCGCACACCACGTTGGATATGATCAGCAGTCACCTTTCTCTCTGGGCCCATTTCTCTTCAGAGAGCCTTGTGTGGATTCCCCCGAGCACTGCCCCCTCCTTAACACCATGCCATCTGAATGAGGAGGAGGGAAGTCCTGCCTGGATGACCCGGGACTTCTGACAGCCTCTGGGTTGAAATATGTCCCCTTTCTGAGAGGCGCAGAGGGACAGGGACCCTGCACAATTAAACAAGCCAAATGAAGTGGCAACTCCCTCAGTCTGCTGAGTCTTAAGAAGTTGCACCTCAACCAGATTCAGCTGTTCTGACATCTATCAAGCCCTGAATTTAAGATACTGAGTGAAAACCTCTGCGTATACCATGTGGTGTGGTGTGGTGGTGGTGGTGGTGGTGTGTGTATGTGTGTTAGCTATGAATTCCACATGGTCCAAGCTCTCAGTTTGTGTGCGTGGCAATGAAAACACACGGCGTTCACAGTCTCAATCACTGCTCTAAGTGTTTACATGTATGGACTCATTTAGGCCTTACACAGCCCTATGAGATGGATATTATCATCCTGCCCATTTTATCGATGAAGAAACTGAGGCACAAAGAGATTAAGAGGTCACAGAGCTAGTTCCATGGCAAGTACCAAAGAAAGGTACAACTAAAGTGCTACAGACATTCAAAGGAGGGTGAGCACATATCAGGTGTGGAGTTATCAGAAACATCTCAATATAGGCCTTGAAGAATGGGCAGAATGTGTGCAGAACAAGCTGGGGGTGGTGGGGAGAGGCCTTTGACTGCAGGCACCACATTGAAGAAGAGAGCCTGCGGCCATCACAATCCTGGTGGCAGGAGAATGAACATTGCTTTCTCCCTTGGATTCCTGTCCGTCAAGACTCCACTCAGATTCCACCTCCACCATGAAGCTGGTCCTACCTCACCCCCCCAGCCCGCCATCAGATTGGGCATCAACCTTTGCTCTGCTATTTACTAGATTCTCATGTAACTTGTCTAAATGTCAGACTCTTCAGCTGAAGACTGAGTCATGGTGAGTAAGGGGCGTTGTATGAAGAGTCCCAACAAGGTGTTTGGAACCTAATGAGCACTGGAGAAATGGCAGCTATTACTGTGAATAATAGCAATACCTTATATACTAAATCATCTAGAATCTGCATTTCGATGTTGAATCATATTCTGCCTTACTGTTATTGTCATTTCTCCCTGACTAGACTGTAAGACTCCTTAGTGTGGGGAGCGGGTGCACATTACATAATTTGGAACCCAGGCTGTGTGAAGCATAGCACCAACTAAACAAAAGAACTCAGTGAGTTGTTGTTCGACCTAACATCCCAACTGGTTTGGCCTTCACACAAAGTCCCTCCACCCCTTGCTTTTTGGACTAAATTCAAGGGAATAACAGCAGCCAGCCTCCCACTCTGGAATCCAACGGCATCAGTGAATTGTGTTTGGGCCTGGTGAGGAGCAGGTGGATCCTGAACAAAGCACAATGCTTCTCCGGATGCTTGAAATAAACATCCTCCCCCAAGAGAGGCTGTGGGCAGACACCATGGAGAGTGGGCAGGAGGAAGTCACAGCCTCGCCATTTTGCTCATGAGAATCAGATTTGCAAGCCCCAACTACATCTGCTAGCAGACATTACTTTGCAAAAAAAAATAATAACCACAATAATAAAACTATCCCACCTTTCTAGCATCCTCACACTTTGCAAAGACTCTTAACATGTTAAAGGAGCAGTTTAAGCATTTGAGTGGGGAAAGACAGATATTTTTTCTAAATGACCTTAAGATATTCCCCAACGCTGAAATATTTCTTGCCGCCCCCCCACCCTCTCAATAATTGTATCTACTTTAGTGTGAATTTGACGGTGCAGGCAAAACCTCTATGTTCACATAGGGCCTGGAGAAATTCAAGGACCTGCTACAAGTCACACAAAAAGTGGGCAGCTGACCAAGGGTGAGGTTAGGCTGTCTCCAGATTTCAGGCTCTTTCCAGGAGACATATTAGTTCTCCATCTGTAAGTTGTTTTTTCAGCATGGAAACTGACCTTTAGTGTTTGGGTATAGGGCAAGGAAGGCGTAGGCCTGGGGCATATAATCTGGAGGCTGGAGGCAGTCTGCCTCCGATGAAGTCAATGTGACAGAGTAAGTGTGATGTGAGCTGGCTGAGTAAATAAAGCCTCTGCACATAAACAGATGTGGCTCTAAAGAAAGGTAGTTCTACAAACCAAATTGGTGGGCAAGGAACTTGAATAGAGATTTCTCCAAGACATACAAATGGTCAGTAAACACATGAAAAGATGTTCAACATCATTATTCATTAAGAAATGTCAACCAAAACCACAATGAGATACTCCTTCATGCCCATTAGGATGGCTACTATAAAAAAATAGCAAGTGTTGGAAAGGATGTGGAGAAACTGGAACGCTTTTGCGTTGTTGATGGGAATGTAAAATGGTACAGCTGCTATGGAAAACAGTATTGCAATTCCTCAAAAATTTAAAAATAAGAATTACCATATGATCCAGCAGTTCCGCTTCCGGGTATATAACCAAAAGAAATGAAATCAGGGTGTTGAAGAGATATTTGTACACCCATGGTCAGAATAGCATTATTCAAAATAACTAAAATGTGGAAGCAACCCAAGTGTCTATCAGCGGATAAACTGAAATGGATAAACAAAATGCGGATATACATGCAATGGAAGATTAATAAAAAGGAAGGAAATTCTGACACAGGCTACAAGATGGATGAAATTTGAAGGCATTATGCTAAGTGATATAAACCAGTCACAACCAGGTAAATACTGTATGATTCCACTCATATTAGGCACCAGAGTAACCAAATTTATAGTGACAGAAAGTAGAACAGTAGCTGTCAAGGGGCTAGGAGGCTGGGGGAATGGGGAATTGTTTAATGGGTGAAGGGTTTCAGTTCTGGAAGATGAAAAGAGCTCTGAAGATTGGCTTCCCAACAATGTGAATGTGCATTAACACTATTAAACTGTACACTTACAAAATGGTTAAGGTGGTAAATTTTATGTTATGTGTATTTTACTGTCATTGAACTTTTTTTTTTTTTTTTTTGGTGGATTCCCCTGGACAAATGGGTATAGCATAAGAGAATAAGATACTCTCACATTTTAGAATCTGCTTGGACAACCACAGCCACGAAAGCTTAATTAACTCAACATTCCAGCAGAGAAAATGAAAGTCAGACGTGGAGTGACATGTTCTGCTAGTGAGGATTCTGAGATGTGGTACCAGGGACTTGTGAAGAGTGTGGGATTGCCTTTCCTCTCCCTGGATGACATAGGGGACTTCTGCCTAGAGATAAAGGATGGGGAGCAAAAGGAGTGGTTAGGAGACTGGCCAAGTGGCTCAGTTGGTTAAGAGCTCGCGCAAGAATGCGAGCTCTGAGCAACAGCGGTTCGATGCCCGGCCCAAGCTGAGTTGCCGCTGAGCTGCCAACAAGTGGCAGGATGGCTCAGCTAAAAAAAAAAAGGAATGGTTGGGATACAAATGTCTACAGAATGTAGGTACAGAAGAAAGTTCTGAAGAATCCACAGAGCGAGAGCTAACATGTTGGATACTCAGTACATACCACTGTAGAATAAGTGTCTGAAAATGAGCTGAGAACAATGCATGTGAATTTCTATTATGGGAATATAGATACAGGAGCATGCCAACATTACATAAGTCCTCAAGGATATGATGTTAGGGAAATGCAAACTCTCATGCTTCTCATTACACTGTGAGTAAGGTCTGAGTTTCCCACGGTTAGAACCAGTACTTTAAAGCCTTCTGACCCCAAAAGTACAAATGCAACCTAACGAAAATTGACACTACACTACTTACAGTCTTTGGAGCAGATTGGATATCAGACAATCATGTAGTAGGACTCAAGGAAAAGGACTCTGGGACACGATCGGGAGCAGTGGCTAAAAATTCTGGAACAAGGATGGCTGACAGGAAAAATTACGTTGGGGAGTCGCACAAGGCACTGCTGCTTGGGGTCGGGGAAAGGGGAGCCCTCAGGAAGACAAGGGAATAAATAGTGGTGGGAGGACCACGAAGCAATAGCACTACATGGGTGCTACCAGAGTTGATTCATGGGGGGCAGTGCAGGGCCTTCTTTAGGGTATTGGGAGAACTGCCCTCTTTCCCTATCACGACTCACAGATCCTTCCCAAATTTCAGAGCGTGAAGACCTTCTCAGCTGTGGCACAAAATACGCATAGATTAGACAGTAAAGATGACAGAGTGAAAGAGGCGAGAGCAGCATAAGAGGAACTATTCTTGGAGTAACAGTAAGTTTCCGGCACTTGTTTTTTCTGATGACCCTAGTTAAATGTGAGCTTTGAAGAGCAATAGACAGATGTCTAGAATACTCTGCAATTAACTCTAAATCATTGGTACAAAGAATTAGCATTCCAGCTCAGACCTGTGTGATATACACAAGAAAATACATGCTCAACCAAGACGACAGAAATAGAAGAAGAAAAAATAGACAGTCATTTTCCTTAGCTACAATTAGCAAAGGGTTTGACAATATTTCTTAATGAATCAAGTTGAAAATCAGCATCCGAAACACACAGTATTACTTGTGTATTGTATATTCATGTTTAAGTTAATTGTTTTGCAAATTGTACTTAGTTATTCCATTGTGTGAGCTATATCTTCACAATTTCTGTTGTTGGTTTTTTTTTAAAGTCATAGGTTAAGTTATTCTCTTAGGTATAGTTTTAAAAGATCTTTGAGTCAGAGACACCCAACTGGTAGTTGTAGGTAAGATAGTAATAGTTAGAATGGACAAAATAAGTAACTTAATGCCCTCTTCAGACTAGTCTTTACCCAGGCCCTTTCCAATCAATCAATGAATGTCACACATCATACATATCATTCCCTGAAATGTATTCTCAACTTGTAAGAAAAAAATTTTTTTTTCTTCTTCTGTAAGTAAATACTTCTCCTCTTCTTGTTGTCCCATCCTTCACCTAGGGCCTTGTTACTGTCAGGAAACTGGGATTTATTGAGACAAAGCAAGGAGTTCTGCTGCCATGATTAAAATTTAACACTGTGCGTACATTATTACCAATGCAATAAGACATAAAACCGAAACAAAAGGCGTAACTACTGAAAAGGAGGAGAAACACAACATGTTGTAGTAGATAACATGATAGCTTATCTTAAAGACAGAAAAGAATCAACTAAAAAGCTTCCAGAATTAATAAACAAGTTAAAGGAAATGATTAAACCTAGGATAAAAATGTTAAACTTAATTAAGTTTCTAATATACTAGCAACGATCAATTGGAATATATAATGGGAAATCTATATCATAAGTAACTTTAAGAAATCTATAAAACCTATAGGAAAAAAATGTTAAAACTAAAAAAAAAAAAACACAAGATGCTGAACAATACAAGAGAAGGTCAGAAAAAATGGGGGAATTTTAGAGTACTCCAGTTAAAATTTTAATTTTTCTTCTTTTTTGCCTAGACAAGATGTTCCTAAAATCTTTCTAAAAGAATAGATGAAAATACTTTACATTTTGTACAGTGTAATGAGCAAAGATTTGCCTGGCTAGATATTAAAAGTATTATAATGTAAAAGTATAATATATTTTTTTAATTTAAAACTGGCAAAAAAAAAAAAAAAAAAGAAAGACAAACTGAACAAATAAAATACCTCTAAAGAATATGCCCAGGGACTTATGAAAACTTACCATAAGCTAAAAGAAGCATTCCAATGAACAAAGGAGGGGACCAGTCAATAAATAATGTTTAGGAAAAATGGTTATGTGGAAAACACAGCATTACAGCCAAAGAAATTCTATGTGGATTAAAGAATTATACGTAAATAAGAATAATAAATGAACTAATATTTTAGGTGACTAGTTTATATTTCACAAAGGACATTCTTAACATAAAGCAAACTTAAATTTGACAATATATATATATATATATATATATATATATATATTAAATGCACTACAGAGGAGGGAGAAAAAATAACGAAATTTAGATAAAATAGTCTTTTCCTTCTTTGTCCACCAGATGGGGCTTCTTACTCCCGAAACCCAAAGCTCAGTAGTGGAAGCAGCCTGACTGACCACACTTAACTCCTCCACCCCACCAAGTGCCTTCCGTCCAAAATGACTCAAGAAGGTGCAGAAGGCATTGTGCGGAGAAGGCGGCACAAGGAATAGCGATGGGGCACGGGGAAGTTTGACTTACACAGCTGGAGGACTTATTTAGCTTCAGGCAGATACCGTGGGTCAATTTCATTCCTGTCATGCTGGAACATTCGAGGTCTTCCTGTATTAAAACAAAAACAAAGTAAATAAGCCAGTATCTTTGCCCCTCGTTTCTTCCCGACCTTGTTTCCGGTTTGATTTATGTCTAGTACTCTCTCTCTCAAGAGATTTTTAGAGAAAACGGAATTTTAAAATGTGTTAGAGGACTAGAGATTTACAACAGTGATACTCTCTTACTCCACCTCAACCCCTAGCCCCAGCAGATAATTGGAACTTTTGTGACTAGCCTGGGCTTGCAGGCAAGTAGGTAGGTATTCTTGGTAAACATTGGCTTGGATGGTGTAGAAATGGAAGAGAGAGGTTCTTTTCCCATCCAGTCTGTTTTCCCTTCAGAGAATTTTCACTTGCTGTAAGGCCACATAGACAAATAGATAATGGGGTGGCTGGGCAGATCCCCATGATACTCACTTTCTTCCTGGCCCCTAGGGCTCTCCAGATTCCTATCCTGGCCCCTTTAAAAACAGAAACTAGGCAGGGCCCCCCATCTCAGGCCAGCCCTCAGGCTCCACATCCTCATATTTTCTAACCTTTCTCCTGAAAGCTGTTGACAAGGCTGAGAAAGGCAGGTTGAGCTCACCATCTCGGGTCTGCCTAGTTCCTCACGGCCTCTCTATTCCTGGCACAGCCACCAAATCCTCTCACATAGAGGAAACGGTATTTGTCCTAAATATTTTGGGAAAAGCAGCTCCATTAAGGAGGATGGTTTCCAAATATGGCCAAAGGGGATTGATGCTCTGGTCAAAGCCCAGAACAGGAGGTACTAGAAAAGGTACTAGAAAAAGGCACAGAGACTCCCCTTTACCCTCTGCTCCTTGGAAATGTAACACTTATGGTGCAGATCAGCCTTGCCACCCGACTGCACCCCGCCCCTCCCCTTATCCTTTTCAGCAAGATTTAAGCTGCATGATTCCATGTTAATTCCTAATGACCCAAACCCAAGTCTCATTTATGGGGATGAGGAAAGGTTGAGGAGAAAAGAGAGCTTATATACATATGAAGTAAGGAGGCAATCTGCCATTTTTGGCCCAATTCACCCACCTTGATGGTACTTGGGGTAGAAGACAATGATGTAGAGTGTATACCAGGAGATGTCACAAGGCTGGTGCTGTTGTACAGGGGATCTGAAACATTTCCAGGTGACATGCTAGGCTTCAAGGTCTCTGTAGCTGAAAAGTTGACTGGGATGGAAGACACTGTGATGGTTAAAGAGGTCTGTGTCTGGACAGAAGAGTTCATGGTTCCAGGAACTGAAGTGATCTCAGAGGTGGATGTGATGTTGACTGTATGCTCTGAAATAGACCAAAAACACAAGTTCCTATGTGTGCACATTTGCACGAACACACACACACACATACACACACACACACACACACACACACACACACATCTCAGTTCACTGTCTTCAATGAAGACCTTATAGATAATGACATAGGCAATAACTTCAACCCAGAAAAAGGAATTGGGGGATTTAAGAGTTACCTTATGTCTTAACCTTTACCAAACTGATTTCAAGCTAGCTGTTGGAGCCATAGCTACAATCTAGAGTGTATTAGAGGTACCCTCAGGATTCGAAACTTAACTGGATGCTGGTGCAACCTAAAGAAGTCAAAGACCCCCAATTTGAACCTGTACACAACTTCCTTCGCTTAGAAGAGATCAGAGATCTCTAGGGAGTTCTCATTTAATAGTTATTTTATCACTAAGTTCAACACAGCATGAGAGCAGAACAAAGGACATTACTGATCAGGATCAGCTGCCAAGGTGTTGGCCTGAGAAAGCTGACACTCTAAGAAGAATTATCTAAAACTTATTTCAGGGTATCCTTGACATGAGTCCCAAGCCATTATTACAAGGTACTTGTATGTTTTCATCTGTGGGCAGAGGTGGGGGCCGGAGGGGGGGGGTGGTCTGCAAACATCTAATGCTTTACCCAAGCACCAGCAGCAACCCTCTGTGATCTGAGACAAACACTCTTTACCTGAGATGGCTGCTGTGGTCCCATTGCCGTCCTGAGAGACAGGGTAAGATACGGTACTTGCAAGACTACTTGGTGTTGTCATTTTCAGGGTGGATTCAGTTGTAGGAAAAGATGAAAATATTTCTGTGGTAGATGATCCTATGGTAACAGTCAAATTATCCACATTTGTGAATGCAGAGGCTGTAGGGAAACGAGGAAGAAAGGTCAGAATCTAAATTGTCCCGGCGCTTCATGACATCACCTGATTCAATTCCTGGACTTCAGGTAGAATCCATCTAGAACACCCCCTGCCACCCCTGGCAAGACAGCAGCAACAAAGGCATCCTCTTGGACAGGCAACTAATTTCCCACTAGTAGGTTTTTCCTAAGGAAAACCTTGTATGTATCAAGTTTCTAGTATAGTATGTATAGTATTATTTATAGTACGTATATTATTTATAGGGGGGAAAAATTGCACCTCCATGAAAAAATGAACTACAGTAGGATAAATGGCAATATGCACCAAACATACCATAATCATTACAAATAAATAATTACAAAAAAACTATAGCAACCTGAGAATGAGGCAATGTTTATAACATGTTAAAATATTAAAATATCAAATTACACTGGAATAAATATTGCAAAAATCTAAAATGTGGGCAGATGCAACTGTTTCCTTTTTAAGGTGTCCATCTCTCTTTTTGTCAGTCTCCAGCCACCAAATTAATTCTTGGAATAATCACTGGAGTCACACCACTCTCTAGACAATCCCCTTAAACATCTTCTATCCTTCCTAGACTTCCCCATTCCCAAATTCCCCTCATTCTTTCCCACGTGACCTTTAAACGTATTCTCCTTTCTTTGGGTTAAAAGTCTTCAGCAAACAACTCCAAGATTTCTTTCAGGAAGTTCTGCCCTAGAAATTCAACTAATGGACTAGAAAACATGAGGCCTGGTCTCTCATTAGATATGGTGCAGAGCTAGAGCGCTTAGTTGTGGCTCTGCCAATAACTATGTAATGGGTGTGTGTGTGTGTGTGTGTGTGTGTGTGTGTGTGTGTGTGTGTGTGCGTGCGTGTGTGTGTGTGTGTGTTTACCAATCTCTAAAGTGAGGGTGTTTCCTTACATGGATTCTTGGGAGAATCAATGAGAAAACATGTTAAATTGCTATAGTATAATGTTCCTGCCTCTAGTTATTCTCTGAAGATCTTCACGAGGGTCCTTGCCTTTCCATGTTTCCTGGGATACCCAGCAATGCCATCCTTGGACCAGGGGGGAGAAGATTCCTGCCTGGAGCCCTGCATTTTAGAGCTCACACTCTGTTCCTCCTCCTGCCCTGTCCTTCCCAAAACCATGAGGAGTCCCTGGGGCCAAAAGAAAAGTACCCTTTCTTGCAGATCATATACTGGGGACCAGAAATCCTAGAGCCTCTTGTTCACTTGACGATCTTGGGCATGGGCCTTTTCTCACAGCCCATCCTTCTGAGGGTGAACTGCAGCACCAAACGTATGCATCTCCAAGGCCCAAGGACAGCCAAGGGTGGCTCTTTGCAGGGACAGGGTTAGAGTGTAAGTGTATGGGTGGGTGTCCCTTACATGCACCAAGATCTCCTACAGTATGGGCCAGTGTCATGGGTGAGAAGGAGAGAGAAGGGTGGGCTGGAGCCAAGGGCCATCTCTCCTTGCTTAGCCACACTGTAGCGCTGAATTCTAGGATTCTGAGAGTCCCAAATTCACACCTGGCCTCCCAGGTGACCATGAAGATATGTTTTTCAAGGTAAGAGGAAAGAAGATACTTCACTTATCAGTTAGTTGGCCTGATTTATAACTTTGAAGTGTTTAGAAATATAGTATGTGGGTCTCCATTGTACGCTTGGCTTGGGCCTTATGAATGTTAGGGGTGGACCTGGCATCCAGAGCTCACACAGCAGTGCCATTCTGCAGGAAAGTCTCCTGAGGGTCCCTAAGCTTGTCTCTCAATTTTCCTGGTTGACAGCGAGGTCTGTAGTTTTCAAAGGTTTCCAGGTAAATAGCAGTATAGAAGGACACCTCTTCTTTCCCTGAGCAACAAGAGGGAAGTTAGGGTTCGGTTTCAAGGCAATTAACTTGGGGCCCAGAATGTTTCTCATTAAGGTGGTGGCAAGTCTCTCTGTCCCACGTCTGCCTCCCTCCCCAACCTGCTGCAAGAAGATTGATATTAATGGTGAGTACAACAATCATATCACTATTATGTGGCAGGTGAACGAGAGGAAAAAGTAATACTGCTATCTCTATCTTCGAGATGAGTATCTGAATCACCAAGGCTTTGGCTGAGAGGGAAGGCGATAGTTCCTGAGAGGGCAATAGGGCCACTGAGGCTTAGCTGACTCTTATAGAGTAGAGGGTCAGGGGGGCTGTACTTCTGGAGAGAAAAGGAGGGGCTCATGTATGGCTTAGTTAGGGGGTGCGTTTATCAAAATAAAATAGATGGGGACGATCCAGTCTTCTCCTGCCCTTAAATAGGGCCCTCTCAGCAATCTGACCTTAAGGTGTGAATTCAGTGTGAGGGGCAGGCGCTGGGAACATTTGGGCACTGAATTGAAGGGTCATCCTCTGCAGGTACCATCCCAAGACTCCACTGGAACCCCTCTTGACATCAGTCTTTCTGCCCATCCTGTCCTCTTTTTCCCCTACAACGCATCAGTTCCTGGGAATCGCATCTGGCCCAGCCTGGTCCAGCCCTTTTCTCCTCCCCAAAGGAAGCTGGGCCTGGCTGAGGTGATGTCATGCTTTTGAGTCCCCTCCCCCAGGGCCTCCTTCACCCGGACAAACAGTTTTGAACTTTTCCAGATGTGAAGAGAGACCTGCCGCTAGTTCTGAGGACAGAAGTGCCTGTGCCAGATGAGTGAAGCAACCCTGGGCCCAGGCCAGCTACCAACGCACTAGGGTCGGGCTCCCGGCTGCAGCAGCCCCCTCCTCCCACCTACCACTGTGCCAAGCACCAAGGCGCATGTAGCAGGGACCGTCTGCAAATGCGAACAGGACCCCGACCTCAGCTTCATGTCCTTGAGCCTTAGGGTGAGCAGGGAAGCTACTGAGACTCTGGAGAAATTGGACAAAGTGGTGGGGGAGAAAGGCAAGGCTGGGCGTGGGGTATGTATAAGCTATAAGGACAAGGGGACAGCTTGGCAGGGCCTTAGGAGCCAATTCTGGCCTAGGGACTATCAGTGAGGGAGTCTCTTGGTTTCACAATCTCCAGGGCTTCATTTAGAGTGCCCATGAAGAGACTGGGGTCTTGAAGGAATGACATTTATACGAATCAAGATTGACCACAGACCTCTTTCTATCCTATCTTCCCACACACATCCATGGCATTAAACCATCAAATGCTGACCTTTTTTAATCTGAATTTCTCATCCCCTACACTGCAAGGGGGTAATAGCAGCCTAGCAGTCAGATTCCAAAAGGCAGTCGATGACACTGCCACTGTATCCCATTCTAGACTGGCGGCATAGCCCTTACCCCAACCCAACAGATCATGAGAATGATGTAAAGTCGAACGCAATGCTATCTTCTCTGTTTACGTCTCACTCCATCTTTATTCACTCTGTATCCCTTATTTGACCCTGGGTACCCTGTTTGACCTCAACACTTGAACTTGGAGCAAGGGAGAAGACAAGGTCTCAAGAAGTTAACAAAATGAGGATTCTAAGAAGCCAAACAGATGTCACAAAATTCATGGAGTAAAAGTCATCCATTTAACTTACAGGTACTTATTCTGGGGCAGTTATTCTTGTTTTACGCACAATTCTAACAAGCTTGGATATCTAATATACTAGTGAAAGCTAAAAATTAGAAAGAGACTCTTAGAAACAAACAATAAGGAGAAGCAGCAGCTAAAAACGAAGAAACAGAAATGAAAACCAGACATGAGTATCAAAACCCACACTAGTCTGGGATTGTTCATGGTGGGAGTAAATAAATATATACACTTTAATAAGCATTAATGATGTCACTGAGTTGCACCATGACCAAATTATGTTTATGATACACCTGAGTCATGAAGGTTGAAGTCCTCTCTTATTGGTACACTTAAGGAAGCAGAGGAGTAGTAAATACATTTTTATAAGATTTCTACCTACAATTAGTAAATTGAAGATTCTGTTTGCCTTTAAAAGGGGGTTATAAATCCTCAGAGATTCAGAAAGCTCTGCTACCTAAATAACTAAATTCCCATATTTTAAGAGAATGGGTTTTCCTATACTTCATCTTGTTTTTCACGGATCCTTAGTGTTATTGTTTTGCTAGTGCTGTTTTCTGATCTCCTAGCCAATCAGCTCCATTCTATCCATCCCTTCAAATTGTAGCACTCAGCCCAGTGGGAGTTTCTTCCAGGAGTTCCTGGGTGTCTTAGCCTATAGAGATACAGTAGTAGGAAGAAGGAACACACTGGCCTCTGCTGGGAGCCCATGGCCTGTTTTGAAAAGACAGCAGAGCCTGGAAAGAAAGAGCTTGGGTTCTGAATTCAGATCATGATGGAAGGAAGACTTGTCTACCACGAACTAGCTGTGTGGCCTTGGGAAACTTCTTCCATTCTTAAACCTCCCCTGTAAAATGGGGATAAAAATAGTTCATACTTTCTAGTTGTTTTGAGGAATAAAGGAGATAAGGGTATAAAGCAGGTAGGCTGTCTGGTAAATGCTCAAGAAACACTGGTTTCTTTAATATAGGCCCTTTTCCTTCTGTTTCTTCAAGACGTTATGACACATAGCTCCATCACCTATCTAACAAGTCACGTATGCTGTTTCCTGAATATAGGTCTTGTCATCTCAGTTCCATTATAAACCTCTTGAGTGCCAGAACCATCTCCTCTACTCCTTTGCTGTACTCAGGGCACTTAGCATAATCCTCAGAGTTCAGAATAAGCACCATGATTGAAGAGCGATAGCATCAGGCATGTTCATACCAACCACCTCTAGGCAGAGTAGTCTCATTCGATGCTATACTTTAAGGGGAAATTTATTAAACTGGGGAGTGTCCATGGGAGGATAAAGAAAGTTAGGAGAGTTTTAGATACAAAGTCATATGGTTAAGGGCCTAATGTTATTTTCATCTAGATCAAGTGTTGGCCACCCCAGATGGTGGACCTAACCCCACTGAAGGGCTGTTTATTGCATGACCAGTGAGCTAAGAATGGTTTTTGTATGTTTAAAGTGTAGAATAAAAGAGTGGCATATGCATTAGAGACCACACGTCGCCTTGAGAGCCTAAAATATTTACTATCTGTCTGTTTAATGTAAACTTTGCTGATCTCTGATCTAGAAAAGAAGAATTTGGGGAGGGAAAATTAACTTTCTTCAAGGTCCATTTCACTGATTTATTCATTCTTATTTTTCATAAGCACCAGTGATGTGCAAAGGACCACGCTCAGTGCTTGGGCAGCACAAAATAAGAGAAGATTCCTTCAGGCTGTTAGGTGTCAATGTCATTAGAAACAAAAAAATCCCTGTCCTCAAGGATCTTATCTTCTAGTGGTTCTGACTAGAAATGTCTTTAAGGATCGTCATGAAGAAAGCTCAGATTAATTCTGTGATAGTTCAAAGAATGGAATTAGAATTAATGACCAGATGTTTACAGGAAGGCTAATTTCACTGCAGTACAAAGAAAAGCTAAAAATAATGGGGTTATTATTATTTTTTTTAAATGAAATGAACTATCCCGGGAGATAGTGAGCCATCCATCTTTCCTGGGAACATTCAGGAAGCATCCTGGTTATGGATGGACCACGGTGGACTAGAACGAAGAACTGGGCCGACGCCTTCCTACATGTCAGAGGGTACGCTGAGGTGTGAGTGTACACCCAGTGTTTGTGGCCTGGGTGTGCCCTGTGTACTGAGGTTGCCCTCTACTGCTCAAATGGTATGCCTTGGACCCCATCCGCTTACTTGAACCCCAATATCCTGAACTTTCTCTGGGGGCCTACATTTCCCGTCATCTCTTCCTCCATTTTCCTGATTGCCACTGACTCCCGGATGGAAGCTCCGTGCCTCCCTGTCCTCAAGCTGCAGGAGTTCTCGGTCTGCATGACTTCACTTGTGGACGAGCCAAACACCCATTCCTTTATTCCCCGAGGGCACCACTAACACAGGGCTGGTGTGTGTTTACTGAAGATGTGAGTGCATGGAGCAAGATTACAGCCCAGCCCAGAAGAGACGATCACATAAGTTTGACATTCTAGACATTACTGTGCTAGACATCCATGCTGACCATAAGGAATTGCTCCTTGCCAGGTCTTTTCAGCCCTCCGCTCACCACTGTTTCTCTTCTGCTCCAGGCCTCTCCTCCTCCCTACATATCTTCTTGGACCCTGGAGTCCTTCAGCTTTTTGTCTCTCTTGGGCCCATCAAATACAAAGTCCCACTTTCTTTCATCAGTTCAACCTCCTGTTGAATTGTGTCCAGGAGTCAAGGTTTTTTCACCCAAAGACAATTTAAGGAATTCTCTTAGACAATGGAACTGGCTACCTAGAGATGCCATTCCCATAGAAGGTATCAGTTGTGGGTTCTTGGGGTTTTTCTTTTTCCCCAGATCAGCAAAGAGCAGGGTTTCCAATGAGGCCAAAAAATTTTTGTCTTCAAATCTGTAGGAAAGTGACCCATTCCCAGGTGGGCTCTGAGGCATACGTCCTAGGAAGTACATCTTGAGATGAATTGCCATTTTTGGTATCTTGTCCTCCAAAGATGCATGCATCTTTCTCCTTAGCAAAGCTGGGGACCCTTGGGACTAAAAGTTATTGATAACATATTTTTATTTCTTTGCTGAGGAGGGAAGAAAATGTTCTCATTAAGAGTCAAAACCCAGAAAAATATGGAAATTCTGCCCTGGTGACTCTGAGCATTTTCTTCTGGAGGTGGTGTTTCATTGTTTCCATACCTTCACATTTTCACTTCTCTACACTCAGGGCCATTTGGTTAGGTCAAGTAAAGTCAATGAGAGAGGGAGGCCCAGGCACCCTGAGGGTGGAGCTCGGGTAACCATCCAGCCCTGAAAGTCAGCCCAGGCCTGCCTGCCCCAGGGTCTAAAGGAAATCGGGCATTGAGACTATAAGAAGTGGAATTTGTTCCTCCCTTTTATTTGTTTTTGTAAGACTGTGCAGGAGTTTATCTGCTGCAGTTTGGCACTGTTTGCCCTGAGCTTTTGAAGACAAAGACTCAGAAAATGAAGGAGATGAGCACAAGTGAATGAAGCTCCCAGGAGGTGGAGCCAAAGGGATAAGAAAGAGACACCCTGGGGGCATGTCTTATCAGTCAAACAGGAACTTAGCTGAAGATTTGCATTTATAAAGGTTGTGCCAGCAGGGTTGGCCCTACAATGGGGAGCACTGGGGACCACTGAATTAGTCAGAGGTCCCCCAGGCTACTCCTCCTCAGTCACCATGTGGCAGAGATTCAAAGGGTGGAGTCCTCTCTCTTCTGGAAAATATCTGATAAAATTCTTTCCCTTTTCTTTTTTTCCCCTCTTACACATAGCCCCAGACAGGATATGGGTGTGGGGTCAGCAGGCATGAAGGACCCAAAGGAAGAAGAGGAATGTGAAGGGGTGGGACTTGGGGGTGTCGTTAGAGAGAGAGGAAGGACAAGCCGTGGAGGGCTTAGAGGAAACAGATACACTGAGACTGACAAACGGGGCTCCCTAATGACCTGAGAGGTTTCTCTTCCAAGCTGGTGGTGGGGCAGTGCTACCTGGTGGCCTCTCACTCTCCGCCCAGAGCCAACCCACTTCCAACAAAGAAAGTCTCCTTTTGGTTGGCTACTGTGCCCATCCCCATGCCAACTTCTCACAGAGACAGAAAAAGGATCTTCCCAGAACAAAGCTCTGTGTTGTGGTAAGTGATGAGAAAACTACAGAACCCTCTTCTGTCCTAAATTTCACAGTAATAATAGCACAGAATTTCTGCAATGCCCCTTTGTTAGCATTTCAAGGTACAGTTACGCATTTCACTTACAATATATCCCAGGATGGAAGAACTCCTAGTATTAAAAAACACACACCCTAGAAAGTTCTCAGAGAAGGCATAGAGCTACAAACTGGCCCAAGCAGTCTGGCAATATTGAGAATGGGGACCCATGGCCCACCCCTCAGCCCCAAGCTGAGATACTGAAATTCTCAGCCTATCAACCTGAGGTTTTGAAGAGGTTAAATTGCGCCCCCCCCCCCCATTCCTACAGCTGCAGGCCAAGTTGAGACTGAGAATGGCCAGCTGAGGAAATAAGGAAAGGGTGGGCCTCACTCGGCTTAAGACCAGGTCACCATCACAAGCTGTGTAGTCAAAGCAGAGTGGAGCATCTGATGGGAATCCGGGCCAATGATCAACTCACCCCTGTTATGAGGGCACAGTCTAGCACCCAGGGGAGTTTCCCATTTTAGGGCTTGGACACCTCAGTGACAGCTTTTTCTCTACCCCAAAGGGCATGTTTGGGGGCTGCCAAACAGGTCAACCGAGAGCCTAACTTAGAGCTTCCTCCAGTCCTGAGTTTCTCTCCAACTGGGTGGACCCAAAGAGGGACAGCAGAGGAGAGTGAGAGCAAAGAGGCCTAGCTGGCTGGCCCAGGCCACTCTGTGGGGCCGTGGTGGGTGGCCTTTCGTAAAAGCAGGGAATCGGGAGCCCTAGAGGGCTGGAAGCAGAATCTTGAGCAAAAGGGAGAAAGACTGACAATGTTTAAAACCTTCTAAGTGCAATGAAATGAGATGGAGAATGTTATTCCCAAATGAAAGCAATTAAGAATAAATATTTATTGAGTACTTTTTTTTTTCTTTTAACAAAGTGAGAGCGAGAACTTAAGAAGTTAAGAGCATGTGTGGATGAGTGGAGGAGGAGAGTTCACTAGTCTGCTGACCTGTCCACTAGTTTTGGAACTTGGAGGGGGGCAGGGTTAAGAAAATCCCCAAATGTGACAATCTTGAGTTGGTGCCAGGGAGGGAAGCTGTGGTGGGGAGAGGGAGGCAGGCAGCAGAGCAAACTCCATCCATCACCACCTTCTCTCCAGCGGAACGAGTGTGGGTGTCGGAAGAGGGAGGGTAACAGCTTTGCGATCTTAAATGCAAAGATTTTTGCAAGGACTGTTACTTCATTCCAAACTTCTCTGGCAACCTAACTCAGTCTGCCTCCTGGGCCTCCTGGGCGCTGCACCCGGGAGGCCTGGTCCCAAGTTGGCTTTGCTCCCTTTCCTTAAATGTCCAAGTCTGGCTCCCCCTGTCCTGGTGGTCAGTGGGCGCCTGTCCCCCTTCCGCCCAGCCAGCTCAGGCCCTGGCTTTCTGAATCAACTATCAGCGGTAAAACTTCCCTGCTTTTCTCCTCCCCCTCTCCGGGTTCTGGCTCCAACTTTGCGCTCCGCACCTTGGGTAACTCGAAAAGACACTGGTATCTTCAAAGCGCTTTATATTAGAGACAGCCGTGGCGAGTCGCACTGTCCGACTCTAGGACGCCTAGGACTCACCGCAGGTTAACACCTGAGCTAGTTCACACTCGCAGCGTGGTCGCCTTCCCTTCCTGTCCCACCCCCACCGATTTCACAGGTGAGGCCCGGCTGGAATCAGTTCACACAGCCCTCGTCCCACCAAAGCCTGGAGCAGCCATAGGCGTGGGGGTGTAGGTTGAGGCAGGGGTCCCTTCCCTCGATGTAGCTGACTCTGCGCGCTCGGCCTCGTGGGGGGGGGGGGAGCGGCGACCCTCCTGGCGGCGCAGCCCCGCGGGCCGCGCGCGCGGCCGGTACTCACGCAACAGACTCAGCAGGCAGAGCGCGGTCCAGCTCCGCGGCATCCCGCGCTCCGCGCGCGCGCCCCTGCAGCCCAGCATCCTCCCCGCGCCGGTCCGGAGAGATGCACAGAGCCCAAGACACTGCTTGCTCGGCGGGGACCCGATGCCCCCGCCCCTCCGCCTAGGAGCGGGGTGGGCGATTCTTGCTTTTCCCCTCCCCTCCCTCTTAGTCCTGGCAAGGCCGGCCCCTCTCCTTGGCTGCCACTAACGTGAGCTTCCCTGCTTAGTCCCAAAGGCTGAGGACGTTAAGAGGGAGGCTGGGGTTGCCGCCTTCGAGGCCAAAAAAGGTGGAGGTTTGTGCGAGCCCCAGATGCCTTGTTCAGCTTTATGTAGAGGCCCCGTCTTACTCTTCAAGCCCCACTTCCACTTAACTTTTAACCCCTTTGTGTCAGACTGCTGGTGGCCTGGGCAAGGTTCCTTTGATTTTTTTTTTTTTAGTGGGGGGTCGAGGTTTGGGGGTTTGGGGTGGCAGGGCGGCTTTCCATTCCTTTTTTCTTTTCTTTATTTTTAAATTTTAAACCAAAAACAATCTTGCAGAAGGAATCTGCTGTGAGGACCTGAGCTTACAAGTGTGAGTATTTTGCTAATCAGGTAACGCCACGTGTCTTGGCTGATGCATTTAATGATAGTCCTGCCTGAGATTATGTTGCATGTTAATGAAGTATGAGTGAGAAGGACACATAAATGACTGTAATTATGCAGTTTATCCATCCAAACCATCCTTTTCGATTTTTCTTTTCACTTTTTTTTTCCCTGCAAGATCTATTTGTGTTCATTTGGAGGGTTCCCTGTGACCTGCCCCATTTTCCCAGATGGTTAGAGCCTGTCACCATCATCATAGACAAAGGACCCCCTTAGCAACTCTCTCTAGGCAGCCCTGGGTCCCACATTCTGGGGGCTTCATCCTGCTCCCCAGTCAGGAAAAGGACTTCCCTTGACTCCCCCTCTACTACCTGGCCAATCCTGGAGCTCCCTGTCCCTCACTAGTTGTTCAGGATGTTGGTAAATGGGAACTGCAGAAACTGAGTTATGCAGGCGGCCCAGGTCCAGGTTGGACTGGGAAGGTGAAGACTGGAGGGGAGAGGAGGCAGGAGGAGCAGTTGACCGCACTAGGGAGGGGACAAGATAAGGCACAATCAGGGAGAACATGCCCTGCGGGATCCTGAGTGGAGTCAGGATTCCAAACACCCATTCCAGCCTCTTCCGTGAAGTCTACACCACATAGCCCAAAGGGGACAAAGGAAGCCAGACCAGCACCTTCTGATCCTTTCTGATTTACTTCTCTGCAGACTCCCGTGCCTTATGAAAATAGGTTTATGCTTATGGTCCTTCTCAGACCTACTACAAATTTTCTTTGCACAGGAGAAGGGTGGCCAGATCCAAAACAACCCCTCAGACTCCCTATTCTGATCTTGTTCCCTAATTTTCCTTTAAATAGGAAACAAAGCCTTTAATTGCATAATGAATCCAAAGGCTTAAGATGTGAATTTAATAGAACACAATGGTTTGGTTGCACTGTTTCAGACTGCAAATGATTTTTTGGATCTGACCACATTGTGATCTCAAGGGCCTGCAGCTGGGGACAGAAAGGGCTGCAAAATACATTTTAAAATCAGGCCTTTGTCCTTGGGACTCCCAATTAACAGAGAAAAGGAGTTAGCCCCTCCCCTCCCCACTCAGCTCCAAGATTTGGGCCTGCTTTACACCCAATGAGAGGTTGTAAACAAAACGTGAGGTTGCAGTGCTTGCTAGACATGAAAACCAGTTTGGCCCATTTGGCTCTTCCTTCATTCCCAGTCATTTCTTCAGGTTACTTCAAACGCCATTGTCTCCCCTAGCTGGACCACAGGAAACAGGAAAGAACTTGTCTCTAGTGCCTGAATTTCTTAAATAGCTTTGGGAGCAGAGGAGAAAGAATGATCCTATGGAGCAGAGCTTCTCAAAGCATGGTGTGCACAGACTCAAGGGAAGGTTCAGGAATCTGCACTTGTAATAGGTGCTGTCCATGATTCTTATGCACACCAATGTTCCAGAAGTCCTGGCAATAGAAAGAAGACATGCAAGGCACAATGTGGATGTCAGACTTTATGGAGGGAAAATAGGAGTAGGGGATGGGAGGCTGACAAAGCCCTTCTTCAGAGAACCAGAGCTGTTCTCTGGCCTGCAAGGCTATGCACGGCACCAGAACTATAACATTGGGTGATAACTGGCTACTCTTCCTATTTTCTATGGTCCCTGATACTCATCACTCCAAGCACCCACAACCTCACCCCAATCACCCACAAACTCAGGTTTTGGCCACTGGACATGAGTCCATCCTGGGACCCCAGTCTTTTGTTTCCTCACAGGCCAGATAGAGTTGAACTATGAAGCCTATTCAAAACTCTAGCCTTTCTTGGCTGATCCTCAGTGTCTCTGTTTCCCTACTTCACCACATAAGCTGTTGCCAGAATAAGCTGTTAGCTACACTTCACATAGTGGAGGGGTCAACAGAAATACATAGAGAGGCTCTGTCAGGTCCATTTTAGACTTCCAGGTTGTGACCACCCTTACCATTGAAGGTACCCGCTCCCCAGCTTCAAAACACACACACATCATATCAATTTAAAATAGACGCTCGTGTCATATTAAATATAACTTCTTTGATGTAAAAATAGGAAATCATTAAAATGTTTTGACTTTTAAAATGTATTCTTCATTTTTTTGCAATTCAAACTTTATTATGTTTATATACAACTGTTAATTGAATTGCTGTTTACAAGTTGGCTAAATTTGTCTTTTGTAAGTATTTAATAAAACTTCTTGTTCATTTTAAATTTTCTAGTTCATTATTTGGAACCAAGACTTTCCCCTCCCCCCCATGTTGCAAACTTGTTTGGGGCCTTTAAAAGCTCTTGGGGTTTGGATCCCAGTGTGGCAGGGAGGGGTCCTTGGTGGCAGAGATGTTCAGACACTAGAGGGAGGCAAGGAGAACTTGTAGTCAGAAGTGAGTCCCTTCTTTCCCTTCTTGCCTTCCAGTCTCTCTCCAGTGCCTCCTTTTGGGAGAACCTAACTGGAAACCAGATGACAAGGAAGTGTGGGAAATGTGGTGTGTGGGTTTCCACCCCCCAGTGTCCTATGGAAAACTAGCTCCATGCAGTTGGTAGCCTCCAGGTATGTTATAGGCAGGCGATAGAGGCCACAGTCCAAGAAGGCTCAGACCAAATCACGCTGATCAAATCACAAAGGCTAGTAAGTCTATTGACAACATACAGCCAGAACCAAGAGGAAAGACAAGGGTAGGTGAATCCACTTGGGAAAGGTGCAAGCAGGCTAAAATGACTGCACTATCTGAATCTTGTGTTTTACTCAGTATAGTTGGAAGGACCAGAATTGAGGGTAAATCAGGGAGGAGAACATGGAAGATGCTTGGAACCAACATATGCTCGCTGTATTGGGAGACACAAGGGCGAGTAGGCTTGGCCACACGTCTGCTTGCACAGCACGTCAGTGATCTGGGCAACGGTCCCTTTGCCAGCATTTCTGGAACAGAGCATACAGGGGCCAAAATGGTGTCACTAATAGGTAAACTTAGGGACGACTGGGCTTTTGCCCCAAGGTGGCATGCTCTGTACCTTATGACTTACGGCTTGATCTTTCTGTGCTTTTCTCTCTGTAAGGAACACTCTCGTTTTCCTCCGTTCTTTTTATAATATATTCCATTTACTCTATTCTTACATGCCCTACAGATTACAAACTTACTACCTGTTTTTAGCATATCTGAATTCTGCCTATGTCTCACAACCTACTTGCTTACTTATTATCTATAGTTAATACATCTGATGAATTTCACCCAGCCTATTTGCTTTTCTTGTCCTCTGTAGCAGAATTCAATATTCTCATGTAATAGAGCGAACACACATTATACCCGGCATTACAGAGAAGAGCATAGAAGCATGCTGTTGGAACAGAGAGATGCAGGGTAAATAACTGGCACCAATCCAGTTTCATATATTTTTCATACAGATGTAACCACTTTTCTGGCTCTGTTTCCTCAGCAGCCTGTCCTTTCCCTACTGGTCTGAAATGGCATTTTTGTCCTATGCCAATATTTCATATTTATGTGGGCCTGTTTCTGGGCTCTCTACCCACTGATCACCGTATGTATCCCAGTGCTTTTATCATTGCCTTATTTACTGCCTCTTCAAATAAGTACTGACGTGGGTAGAGTAATTGAAGACTCATTTTCTTCAGAAAAGCAGGCTGGCTATTCTTGGCTCTTTACTCTTCTACGTATGTTAGAATTTGCTTATCAGGCACCTCCCTCAAATAATCTTTTGGATTTTGATAAAAAATTCTCTAAATAATTTGAGAAAACTGAATCTTTCATTCAGTCAACGTGGCATAGGTCTCCACTGATTAGGTCTTCTTTAAAGTTTATGATTTTCCCTGTCATAGTTTTAATTAATCTTTTTTTAGATTCATTCCTAGGTTATTGATGTCCTCGAATGCTATTGATGGTTATTGATGTCCTCTAAGATACTATAAACAGTATCTGCTTTTTAATGATTTTTGTTGCTGGTGTATGAAAATATAGTTCATTGTTTTATTTAATCTTTTATTGTACTACCTTATTATTCTCTTATTATTTCTAAGTATTTATAGATTCTTCAGGATTTTCCATGAAAATGATCATATCGACTGCAAATAGTGATAATTTTATTTTTTCTTTCCAATTCTTCTCCCTCTCAATTATTTATTTTTATTTATTAATTTTTTTTAAAGAATTTTATTGGGGAATTGGGGGATGGGAACAGTGCTGGGGAATTGGAGGAAGGGGAACAGACAAGTTTCTGTCTTATTGTTCTTCAATCTAGTTGTGGAGGACGTTGCTTCACTGGCCCAAGTTGGCACCATCATTGTGCTCTTCGCCGGGTGAGGCAGATCAGTCACAGGCTTCTGGACGGCCGCTCACTGCGGCTGCTGGCCGATCACACTGGCTGCTCACACTGGCTGCTGGCCTCTCACACTGGCTGCTCACACTGGCTGCTGGCTACACACGGTAGCCCATGGCAACCCACTGCCACGGGCTGCAGTCTACACCATCGCAGGCGACTCAGGGCAGCCCAGCTCCAGGTTGAGCTGTTGTTCAGCATCTTAGCTGTAGAGGGCAGTGTCACTGGCCGTCATATATGGGATCCGAACTGGGGCCCTCTGGTGTCCCAAGCCAGTTCTTAACCATCGCGCCACTCGGCCGGCCCTCAATTACTTTTTTT